AAAAACACAAATCTTTTTAAAAATTTTTATTGACATATAGTTGATTTACAATATTGTGTTAATTTCTGCTGTACAGCAAAGTGATTCAGTTATATACATTTTTTTTTTCCCTTGGCTGCTATGTGGCATGCAGAATCTTAGTTCCCTGACCAGGGATCGAACCCGTGCCCCTGCAGTGGAAGCGTGGAGTCTCAGCTACTGGACCACCAAAGAAGTCCCTGTCTGTCTTAATGTTCTTTTCCATTGTGGCTTATCACAGGGTATTGAATGTAGTTCCTGGTGCTGTGTAGTAGGACCTTGTCGTTCCATTCTATATATAACAGTTTGCTTCTGCTAGCCCCAAACTCCCACGCAGTCCCTCCTCCACCACCCTCTTGCCAGCTGCAAGTCTGTTTTCTATGTGTGTGTCTGTTTCTGTTTTGTAGAGAAGTCCATGTGTGTCATATTTTAAATTCCACATATAAATGATATATGATACTTGTCTTTCTCTTCTGACTTACTTCATTTAGTATAATGATCTCTAGTTCCATCCATGTTGCTACAAATGGGCATTACTTGGTTCTTTATTTTTTTTGGCCAAGTGGTACTCTGTGTGTGTTCTGTACCTGTTCATCTATCAATGGACATTCAAGTTGTTTCCATGTTTCAGCTATTGGGAATAGTACTGCTGTGGATATGTATCTTTTTTTAATTATAGGTTTTTTTTCTGGGCATATGCCCAGGAGCAGAATTGCTGGATCATATGGCATCTCTGTTTTTAAATTTTCTGAGGAAGCTCCATATTGTTTTCCATAGTGGCTGCACCAGTTTCCATTTCCACCAACAGTATAGGAGGGTTCTCTTCTCCACAACCTCTCCAGAACATTTATTTGTGGACTTTTTAATGGTGGCCATTCTGACCAGTGTGAGGTGATATCTCATAGTAGTTTTGATTTCCTTTTCTCTAATAATTAGCGACGTTGAGCATCTTTCCATGTGCCTGTTGGCCATCTGTATGTCGTCTTTGGAGAAATGTCTATTTAGTCCTTCTGCTCATTTTTCTGTTGGGTTGCTGTATAAGCTGTATATTTTGGAAATTAAGCCCTTGTCAGTCACATCATTGGCAAATATTTTCTCCCATTCTGTAGGTTGTCTCTTCATTTTGTTTATGGTTTCCTTTGCTGTACAGAAACCTATAAGCTTGATTAGGTCCCATTTGTTTTTGCTTTTATTTCTATTTCCTTGGGAGACTGACCTAAGAAAACATTGGCACAATTTATGTCAGAGAATGTTGCCTGTGTTCCAGTTATATGGTGTCATGTCTTACGTTTAAGTCTTTAAGCTATTTTGAGTTTATTTTTGTGTATGGTGGGAGGATGTGTTCTTACTGCTGATTTCATGCAGCTGTCCTGCTTTCCCAACACCCCTGCTGAAGAGGTTGTCTTTTCCCTGTTGATTATTCTCACCTCCTTTGTTGAAAATTAATTGGAGGTGTGTGGATTTACTTCTAGGCTTTCTATTCTATGATCCATATCTTCTTTTGTGATAGTATCATGACATTTTGATTATTGTAACTTTTGTAGTATTATCTGAAGTTAGTTCATAGTATTATCTGAAAGACGGTTATGCCTCCTGCTTTGTTCTTTTTCCTCAGAATTGCTTTGGCAGTTCTGGGTCTTTCGTGGTTCCATATAAATTTTAGGATTATTTGTTCTAGTTCTGTGAAAAACGTCATGGGTAATTTGATAGGGATCACATTATATCTGTAGATCGTTTTGGGTAGCATGCCAATTTAACAATATTAATTCTTCCAATCCAAGAGCATGAGATAGTTTTCCATTTCGTCGAGTCATCTTCAGTTTCCTTTGTTAATGGAAAAACACAAATCTTCACATACATTTCCTGAAGCCTTCTTTCAGTCAGCAAGATATTTTTGAGGCTCATTTATATTGTTGCATATAACAATAATACATTGCTTTTTAAAATGTTTAAATTTTGGAATTAATTTATAGTACAGAGAATTTCCACATGCCCCCTACCCAGTTTCCCATGTTAACATCTTTTTTTTTTTTTTTCCATGTTAACATCTTATATTACCACAGTGTGTACATGCTCTGTCGCTTCAGTCGTGTCCAGCTCTTTGCAACCCCATGGACTGTAGCCCACCAGGCTCCTCTGTCTGTGGGGATTCTCCAGGCAGGAATACTGAAGTGGGTTGCCATGCCCTCTGGGGGATCTTCCCCACCCAGGGATCAAAGCCATGACTTTTATGTCTCCTGCATTAGCAGGCAGGTTCTTTACTACTGAGCCACTGGGGAAGCCCCATTACCATGGTATGTTTGTCCAAACCAAGAAACTGACCCTGGTAACTGTTAGTCTGTTGACTAACCAAACCCCAGATCTGATGTGGATTTCACCAGCTTTCCCTGTAATGTCTTCTTTTTCTCCCAGGATCAAGCCCCCAGGACCACACTACATGCAGTTGTCACATCTCCCCTGTGTCCTCTGCTCCCACTCTCTTTCCTAATTTCTTGTGACACAAACAGTCTTGAGGTATCATGGCCAGGTATCCCGGAAGAGTGTCCCCTTTGGGTTTGTCTGATGCTTTTCTCATCATGAGGCCACATTTAAGGTTTTTGGAAAGCTCAGGCAGTATACACTAGCCACACTTCGTGCTGTTTACCCTTCATCGTTTGGTTAAGATAGTGTTTGCCAGGCTTCTCCAGTGCAGAGTTGCTATTTTCTCTTTTCCCTGTTCTTTGGAAGTGAGTCACGAAGTCTACCCTAAGCTCGGGGGCAGGGGGTGACGACTGAGTAAGAATTAAATTCCTTCTCCTAAGGGGAGAGTCTCTACATATATTTGGAATTCTCTTGAAAGGATTCCAAAAAGAATTCTCCATTTATTTATTTATTCAGTCATTTATTGACTGATTTTTTAAATTGGATTTTAATTTTTATCACCATAACTTGAATATATAATTTACAAAGTTTAGGCTTATAAGGAGAAAGAATAGCTCCTTATTTGCTCTGGTACTTCTAGATTACTACTCTTTCTTGATTTTCTTCTGGTTTATATTAAGTTGAACCATATGAAACTGTTAATACTCAACCATTTTTGATCTGCATAAATGGCAGTTTCATATGGTTCAAACTAATAACCTAGTATTTTGACTTCCTGTTTGGCCAGTTGATTATGTGTGACATTGGAGTTTTGTTATGAACTGTGACTCTGCACCTGCCGTCACCTGACCTGGCTCAGGGATCAGTCCCCACCAGCTCCAGGCGCCCCTTCCCCAGGCACCTGGACCTGGGTGAGAAAGTGACTGCCGGGGGTGAGGACTGCCCTTGCTGTGGTAACTGTACCCCACGGGCAGTTATGGGACAAGGCCTCAGGGCCTCTGCTCTGACAGCCTCAGTGGCTGGGTTCTGGGCCTTTTACACGCTGGGCCCCAGGTGTATCACCTTGCAGGGTGATGACTACCAGCCCAGCTCTCCCAGTACAGCCTTAGGCCAACTACTGAATTCTTGGTGCCTCAGTTTCCTCATCTGTAAAATGGGTTCCATCAGCCTTCCAGATGAGTTCCCTGCAGTGACAGAACGGCAGGTCGTGGTCCTGAGGCCATTGATGTTGTGGGTTCTGAGGGCCGCCTCCAGACCCCTCTGTGCTCTTTCTTGCCCACGTGTGAGGGATGCTTTCCAGGACAGGGGCCTGGGGGGGCTCAGAGGCTGAGACCCCAGGCTCCACCACCCACCTCTGACTTGCCTTTAGGCCCTAGCCAGGTGCTGCTCTAGCTCTGGGCTTACATCTCCCCATCTGTGCTGAGGTGGCTGATGCAGATAGTCTGAAAGGCTTTTAAGTGCCTGAGAACTGGTGATGTCTGCAGAGGTGAGCCCCTCTCCCACATCTGTCCTGTTTCAGGCACCAGAGGTCCTGGGAGCTTGGGATGAATGGAATTGTAACAGTGCAGGTCCAAGGTTCGGGGGCCTTGGCAAATCCCTGTTCACATCAGGGAGAGGGGCTGGTGGACTGTGCTGCTAGGGCCCTCTCAGTTCTGGGGCTCAGAGAGGACAGACAGACCAAGCCAGGCACAGACACCATGATGGCAGAATCGCTCTGGACCCTGCCCAGGCCAGGGGAGGAGCCACGGTCATCAGGCAGTCACACCAATGAAGGCAGAACTGCAATTTGGATGGGTCTGTGGTACCATAGAAGTTAATGGTTTCAAGACCCAATCTGGGGTGTGAGGGAGGCTTCCCTGAAGAAGTGATCCTTTCTGAGCCTGAAGGGGAAGCAGGTGTTGACGAGATGAAAGGGAAAGAGAACATTTCAGACAGAGGAAACAGCAAAGATCCGGCACTGGGAGGGAAGAGGCCAGTGTGGCTGGAGCTGAGTGAGATGGAGCACGGGAGAGGCTGAAGTAGACACACCAGGTGCAAGGCCTGGGAGCCCCAGAGTGTTTGATCTTCACCTGAAGAGCCATGGAGCACCTTTACAAGGCCTTAAGCTGGGAAGCAGCATGACCAGATTTGCGTTTTGAAAAGCAACCTCTGCTGCTAGGGTGGGGCAGGAGACTACTGCTATTTGTATGACAGTGGCTTTGTCCAGGGTGATATCTGTGGGGACAGACAGAAACAGAACCAACAGGCTTGGGGGCTTGGTGTGGGGAAGATCTGCTGATTCTGTGGCCTGAATACCTGAATGGAAGATGGGGGATATAGGTTCCCAGTGGGAGAAGCAGGTTTGACAGGGGATATGGCTGGGGTGAAAGGGCCAGTGGGCACCCAGGTGAGATGGAGGGGCACCAGTGTAGAGCTGAGGCCAGGGCTTGGGGTGGAAGATCATGGTGGAGGAGGTAGAGCAACTTCTGAGGGGACAGTGAGACCCTGTGGGGTCAAGCGTATGCCCTGAGGTGGGGGGGTTCCTTGGGCAGCGTCTCCCCAACACCAACCTGGCCTCTCAGCAACCCAAGGTTCAGGGGCAGGTATCATGAAGCTTCTCACAACCTCTCTCTCCCCCCCAGATCCTGCTCATCTCCGATTATTTCTATGCCTTCCTGCGGCGCGAGTACTACCTCACACACGGCCTCTACCTGACCACCAAGGACGGCACGGAGGCCATGCTTGTGCTCAAGTAGGCCTGGCTGGGCACAAGGCTGCACAGACTTCCGGGGTGAAAGGGCCAGCAGCTGGGCCAAGCCCTCTAACCAGAGTTGCCAGTAGGCAAGTCCAAGGGCAGATGAGGTTTGAGTCCAGGGTGACTACTGACTGGTACCAGTGAGGAGCCAAGGCCAGCAGCAAGGTCCGTGGGGGGAGTCACCAGGAGCATCTCCCCTTGGATCGCCCACTTTGTGGCTCTACATACCAAGGAGCCCTCCCTCCCAAGCAGGAAAGGGGACGAAGCAGGTGAGCAGGGTTTGTTAGGTTGTGGCTACTTAATAAATGTTTTTTGTTACGAAAACGTCTACCCTGGAACCACACTGCGCTCTTGGAAGGGGTGGGCGTGACCTGTAATAACTGCCGTGGGGCACTACACACAGGTGTGGGTCTCCTGAGAGCTCTGAGTTCACAGAACACAGGTCTGTGTGCTGGCCCGCCAAAAATGGTGTGGGGCGGTCCTCTCCCCACCGCCAGCCCTTCCCAGTCCCCAAGCAGCTGGAGGCAGAGGGCCAGGCAGGCCTGAGCAATCTTTATTCTGCAGAGGGACAGTGACCACAGATCCATACACCACATCAAGACCAGGTGAGCCCAGGGCCAGTCCTTTAGGGGTGGGCAGGTCCAGGAGGGGCAGCGCCTCAGGTCGGGGAGGGGCAGATGGGCAGACAGGCAGGGGCCTAAAAAAAAGACAAACCACACAGAGCAGGGGTGCTGGGGGCTGCTCCCCACTCTCCCCAATCCCAGCCAGCACCCAGAAGAGCAACCCCCTAACATAACTGGGCCAGGATCCACCCAGGGGCAGAGGAGGTGCAGTTGGTACCCCCTGGCTAGGAGGTGGCACCTCTGTCCCACCCACCAGGGGCAGGGGCAGAGGCAGCTCAGGTGCGAGGAGCTCCCTGGGCAGAGCCTGACAGCACCCCCCCCACCATGCCCAAGCCAACCCCCCCTACTGCTGGCTCAGAAGCCGAAGGTTTCCTGGGAGGCGTAGACCATGTAGAGGAAGCCATCCTCGTCCTTCTCCTGCTCGTAGATGTCCGCGATGGGCGTGGACACGCTCACCATGCTGTGCTGGTTGACCAGCAGGAAGAAGGCCTGAGTGGGGTTGAGTTGCAGGCGGCGCCTGTGGGGGGCGGGAGGCAAGTACACTGTGAGGGGCCTGGCTGTTGGGGAGAGCAGCCGACCCCCTCCCCAAAATGACCCTGATCCTCCATTTCACACCCGTCCCAGGCCCTTCTAGAGGCGCTTACTTCTGACTGGACACTGACCCCAGCCTTGACCTTGACCTTTCCCAACCTCCCCAGAACAGGGACCCAGCTCCCGGTCCCATACCCCACCTCCACCCCTTCCTTCACCGAAAGACCCAGCGCCCCGCCTGATCCCAGCAGAACCCAAGTCCCCCTCTGACAGCTGCTGCCTGCGCACCGGATGATCTTGACCAACTCGCTCATGTTGACATGGTCCGGGACCAGGAACTTGGTCTTGTCCAGGACCGGCAGCTGCTTCTCACCCTTGTAGCGCTCGATGATCACCTAGGAGCGGGGTGGGGCGGGGGACGCGTGAGCCCGAGTTGGGGCCTGGGTCGGGCCGGGATGGGAGGGGGCGGCGGGACTCACCGGGATTTTGCTGGGGTGCTGCTCGCGGATCTGCTGCACCTCTTTACAGCGGTCGGCTACGGACAGCAGGCGGGGATGAGGCCGGGCCGAGGTTCCGCCCCGCGGGTACCCGAGGGGCGGCCCCGGCCCCGCCCCGCCTCCTCGAAGCTCCCGCCCCCGGGGCCGTCGGGCCCCACAGCCCGGGCACAACACAGAGATGGGAGGCAGAGGCCCCCGGCCCAGGCCCTAGCCGGTTTCCCAGCCCAGGGGTCCAGCCCGAGCCTGACGTCACGGAGCTGACGTCACCTGCGGCAGTCGGGTCGGTCGGCCAACAGCCCCAACCCCCACGCCCCTACCCCGCGCTCGCAGATCGCCCGCTGGGCCTCACCAAAGCTTCGCCGCTGCTTGAAAGGCCGGTCTGAGGGCATCGCGCCGGCCCGGCGGGGCGCGCAGGCCGGACCTCCGGGGCGCGCGACGCAGGGATGTGGCTACGGTCCGGGGGCTCCGGGGGCTCCGCGCCTCACGCACAAGGGCTCCGGGGCTCTCGCTGAGCCCGGCGGCGGCGGCTCGGGGAGGTAACTCGCCTGGGTGACGTCAGGTCACAACATTCCTTAAAGGGGAGGCCGGCGCGCCTCTCCCATTGGGCCGACGCAAAATCCACCCGCCCGGACCCGTGACGTCACGGCGCAGAGAGCCTGTATTCCCGGCCCCGCGCCGCGAAGGGGCGGGGTTCCCAGGGCGCGTCACAGTCCCGTGACGTCACGGCCTGCGCAGGGGCGGGCGTGGAGGGGCGCCGTCTCTCTAAGGCCGGGTCTGAGGGGAAGCTGCAGTTCCTGAGAGGCCAAGGCGGCTGGGGGAGCAGACTCGGAGCTCCGCCGGCGGGAGGGGCGGGGCCGGGCTGCGGCACAGCATCCTCCTGTCCCCACTGTCACTGTGTCATCTGACAGCGCTCACAGCCTGTTCCGTTCCGGGGACGGTAGGAGGCACTTGGGGATGACAGCACTAAAACAAACGTCCTTGCCTTTGTGGAGTTCTTGGTTAAATTAGAAAGATAAAGGTGGTGGTCGGGGTGGGGGATTAACACATGAAGACGCTTGGAGCAAGACACTAAAAAGGAGCATGAAAGTTTTACATGGAATTTCTAGAATCGAAAAACAGCTATTGAAAGTCAAGTTCTCAAAGGATGAGGCAAGAAAGCCTATTAGATACAGCAGAAGAGAAAATCACTGAACTGGATGAAAGATCAGAAGCAATGAGCCAGAAAACAAGCCAGATGGAACATATAAAAGAGAAAGGGACCAGGAATGATAAAGTGAGGAAAACTCGGGTCCAATCAGCGTTCCAGAAGGAGAGAAGAGAATGTGGGAGAGGCAATTCCTGAACAACTTCCAAAATTGATTAAAGATGAGGATCCTCACCTAAAATCTGGAACAGAATAAATACAAATAAATCTCATCTAAACACTTTGTAGTGAATTTGCAGAACGTTAAAGGGAAGAAATTAGAAAAATGGCAAGTACTATAAGCATGGAAGTCCAACTAAACAAGTAGCTGCTATAGAACATGAATGGTGACAGTTCGTGGAGTGCAGAGCAAGGATCAGGACATGATAACAGGTAGGACTGGAGAGGGTAATTGAAATTTAAGTGTTCTGAGAAGCTTCATTTATTTGAGAAGAGGAGGATAAAGAGAATTAGTAATTACCTGGCTTTGTAAAGTCAAGTATGTATCTCCAAACACTTCAGAAGGTAAATAGTATTTCCAAACACTAAAAGAATAGAAAGTAACGAATTATAGAAATGATCCCTGAAAGTATAGTCTTAAGACTAAAGACATTATTAGTGATGAAGAGGGTCAACACAAAATGATGGAAAGAATAATTTTCTAAGGAGATAGAACAATTCCAGACTTGTGTGTTAGAGTTTAAAAAAATAAAAGACTTAAAGAATATGAAGCAAAAGTGACAGGATACAAGGAGATATGGCCATATCCTTCATCACAGTGGGAGATTTAAGACCTCGTTCAGTAACTGATAGACCAGTCAAAAAAAAAAAAGGATACAGAAGATTTTAATACTATTAATAATTCTAATCAATGGACCCTGGTAGAAACTTGAACCCAATATATTACTTTCAGGAATACAAGAATCATTTATCTTAAAAAATGATCTGATTACTAGGCCCCAAGACAAATCTCAATAGATATCAAATAATCAGTTTCATACTTACCATGTTCTCTGACCACAAACAAGAGCAGAGTAAACTCTAGGTCTTCAGATATATAAAACACTTATAGAAAACTCTTTACTTCAAGATGAAATCATATGGAAATGAAAACTACTTGGGTCAAACTAAAAATGAGAATACATATAAAAACTCCAGGTTGAGGGTACGGGGAACTAAAGCAGAATGTAAAAGATCTTTATTAGTGATATTAGGTAAGAAGAAATATGGAAAATTTATGAGCAGAGTGTCAAAGAACTTTAGAATGCAGTAAGTGTAAACCCAAAGAAAGTGGAAGATAATGAAAAGCAGAAATTGAAGAAATAGAAAACAGAAGCACTAATATGGGCCACAAAACAAAGCTGGATCTTTCAAAAGACCAATAAAATAAACAATGTGCAAAAGGGCTTCCCCTGTAGTTCAGACAGTAAAGAATCTGCCTGCAATGCAGGAAACCCAGGTTTGATCCCTGGGTTGGGATGATCCCCTGGAGAAGGGAATGGCAACCCACTCCAGTATTCTTGTCTAGAAAATTCCATGGACAGACTATGGGATCGAAAAGAGTTGGACATGACTGAGCGACTAACACATATACAAAAGGGATATAACTACAGATATAGCAGAAATGACAAAAAAAATTATAAACTTTATACCAATACATTAAAAAATTAGATGAAATGGACAATTTTCTAGAAAAAAGATAGTTTGCCAGACCAATTTACACTTGATCTTAGCCAAAAGGCCGAGAAGCGATGCCAGACCAATTTTTTTTTCCATTTATTTTTATTAGTTGGAGGCTAATTACTTTATATCATTACAGTAGTTTTTGTCATACATTGAAATGAATTAGCCATGGATTTACATGTATTCCCCATCCCAGTCCCCCCTCCCACCTCCCTCTCCACCCGATCCCTCTGGGTCTTCCCAGTGCACCAGGCCCGAGCACTTGTCTCATGTACCCAACCTGAGCTGGTGATCTGTTTCACCCTAGATAATATACATGTTTCAATGCTGTTCTCTTGAAACATCCCACCCTCACCTTCTCCCAGAGTCCACAAGTCTGTTCTATACATCTGAGTCTCTTTTTCTGTTTTGCATATAGGGTTACCGTTACCATCTTTCTAAAGTCCATATATATGTGTTAGTATACTGTAATGGTCTTTATCTTTCTGGCTTACTTCGCTCTGTATAATGGGCTCCAGTTTCATCCATCTCATTAGAACTGATTCAAATGAATTCTTTTTAATGGCTGAGTAATATTCCATGGTGTATATGTACCACAGCTTCCTCATCCATTCGTCTGCTGATGGGCATCTGGGTTGCTTCCATGTCCTGGCTATTATAAACAGTGCTGCGATGAACATTGGGGTGCATGTGTCTCTTTCAGATCTGGTTTCCTTGGTGTGTATGCCCAGAAGTGGGATTGCTGGGTCATATTGCAGTTCTATTTCCAGCTTTTTAAGAAATCTCCACACTGTTTTCCATAGTGATGCCAGACCAATTTAAAAAGAAGTAGACAAACCAGGTAGCCATATACAAAAAATGAGTCCAGATGGTTTTCTAGTTGAGTTTTCCCTACATAAAAATAAAAAAACTCAAACCTGTGTCAAATATTATACTTAATGGTAAAACACTATGCCCTATGGTAAATGTTAAGCATTATTCTCTTTAGAACCAGGAACAAAGTTTTGAATTATATCATTGAACAAAATGCATTATTGCGTGGAGGGCCCAGCCAGAGCACCAAGACAAGAAAGGATCAAAACTATCATCCACAGCCAGAAAACCCAAAGGAATCTACAATGAAACATTGCTAACTAATACAGTCTAACAACATACAATACTAAGTTGTAGGGTAGTACAGGAAAATGAGAACTCTTTACACTGCTGATGAAAGTGTGTCATTTCCGCTTCACTGGAGAGCAATTTGACAAAATCTACCAACACTGAAGATGCTCATATCCTGCAATCCAGATGTACACATGAGCCCAAAGAAATACAGTTAGGTATGTTTGTTGGAACATTTTCCTAATAGCCAAAAAAAGGGGGGGGGGGGCACCTAATGTCTAATCATTAAATATCTTGTATAACAGAACAACAGCAGAACAACAACAATGGAACAACAGAATATTCCTATAGTGAAAGAGGGAGAGACAGGGTCAGCCAACTAGATATTTTCAACTTTGCAGGCCGTATGGTCTCTGGAAACCAAGCGGTTCTGTTGGAGTGCAGAAACAGGCCTGAACTATCTGAATGGGCATGACTGTGCCCCAATAATATTTTATTTGCTAAAACAAACAAATTTGACCTGAGGGCTTTAGTTTGCTGACTCTTGATCTAGAGCTGTGTGTCAAAGTACACACATCCCACATACACAAAGTTGCAGGAGATTGTGATGAGAACCATTAAGAACAACTGGAAGAATTAGGTCGGCCATGGCCTTGAGGAAGTGGCTACACCTTTCTTTTGTCAGGCTAAGCCTTTGGGGATAACCCATCCCCAAATCCCACAGTCTCTGCTCCATCTTCCTACTGCCTGGCCCGTCAGCAGCAGGGCTGACACCCCCTCTACCAGTCCCCTGGTTACTCTTCCTCACTGCTTGTCTCTGCATTGTCCCCGAATCCAAAGGCCTGGCCTGTTTTATGTCTCTAGATGGAATTCTAGCAGACATCTCAAACTTGACCTACTCAAAATGAATCCATGATCTTTCCGCAAAATGAACTCTAATTGTAATCTTCCCTGACTCCATCTGTCATCTTTGACTCCTTTCTTTCCCATGCCCCCACATACTATCCATGCCTACATCCTCTTAGTTCTACATTCAAAGTAGCTCCAGAATCTTACCACTTCTTTCTACTTCCACTCCTGCCTTTCAAGTCAGAGCCACCATCACCTCTTGCCTGTCTTCTTCCATTGTTTCCTCCCTGGTCTCCTTGCTTTGGCCTTGCCCACTTGAGACTGGTCTCACTACAGTGACAAGAGTCATCGTGGGCACACAGGTGTTGGATCAGGTTATTCCTACACCCCAGTCGTTAAAAGTCAAAGGCTGAACAGTTAGCCTGTGAGGACTGTAGGATCTTCTTCCCTGTTGCGTCTCTAGGTTTATCTACCTCACTCTTGCCCTCTTGGCTTCAGCTGCACTGGTGGCCTTGCTATCACGATTCTGGGAATCCCAGACACACACGTGCCCTAGGGCATTTCTGCACTTACTGGTCTCTTTGCCTGGAGCATTCTTCCCTAAAACTTTGTGACACACTCATTTCCAAGGTCTGCTCAAAGGAAGCCTTCATGATCTTATTGAATATTGCAGCTCCCACCCCAGTCACTCTGTCCTCCCTCCCAATACTTTGCTTAATTTTCCCCAGAGCAGTTATCACCTTCTAATATATGTTTTTCTAACAGTTTTATGATGAAAAATTTCAAGCAAATAGAACACCTGAAATAATTGTTCAATGACCTCCCATATACTCACCAAGTACATTCTACATCTAACACTTAGTTCATTACAGGGCCATTTTTCTTTTTTCTCTTTTTTAATCTTTTTGATGTATTTCAGTCAGTTGCAATTCAACATCCATTGATGATAAAAATCTCAACACAGTGGGTACAGAGGAACCATACCTCAGTGTAATAAAGGTCATATATGACTAGCTCTTAGCTAACATCATACTCAAAGCTGAAAACTTTTCCTCTAAAATCAGGAACAAGACAAGCACATTCCCACTCTCTCTGTATTTATTCAACATAGTATTGGAAGTCCTAGCCAGAGTGATTATGCAAGAAAAATAAATGAAAGCTATTCAAATCACAAAGAAAAAAGTAAAATTGTCACTCTTTGCAGATGACATGGTATTATACATAGAAAATACTAAAGATGCCACCAAAAAACTGTTAGAATTAATAAATTCAGTAAAGTTGCACGATACAAAATCAACATACAAAAATCTGTTGCATTTCTATATACGAAAATGAATTATCAGAAATTAAGAATAAGAAAACAGTCCCATTTAAACTTGCATCAAAAAGAATGAATTACATTGGCATAAATTTAAGGAGGTGAAAGACCTGTACCCTGAAAATTAGAAGACACTGATGAAAGAAATTGAAGATGCAAATAAATGGAAAGATACTCTGTGCTCATTAGGACTAGAAGAATTAATACTGTTAAAATGTTTATACTATCCAAAGCAATCTACAGAGTCAATGAAAGCCCTATTAAAATTACCATGGCCTTTTTCAAAGAAATAGAACAAAAGACTATGAATAGCCAAAGAAATTTGAAAAAGAAAAAGAAAATTGGAGGCATCACACTCCTTGATTTCAAAAGACATTACAAAGCTATAATAAAATAGTATCACATAGATCAATGGAACAAAATAGAGAGCCCAGAAATAAGCCAATGCATATCTAGTCAACTTACCTACGAAGAAACCAAGAATACACAATGGGGAAAGGACAGTCTTCCTGGGGGAATTGGACAGCCATGTGTACAAGAATGATACTAGACACTAGACACCATACAAAAAAATCACAAAAATCAACTCAGAATAAAGACTGGACTGTAATTCCTGAAACCGTAAAACTCCTAGAAGACAAAATAGATGGTAAGGTCCTTGACATCAGTCCTGGTGATGATTTTTTTTTGGCTATGCTGCATATGACACGTGGGATCTTAGTTCCCCTACCAGGGACTGGATCCATGCCCTCTGCATTGGAAACATGAAGTCTAAACCACCAGACAGCCAAAGAAGTCCCCGTGGCAATGATTTTTTAGAACTGACACCAAAAGCAAAGGCAACAGAAGCAAAAATAAACAACTGGGACTATATCAAACTTAAAAGCTCTGTACATCAACAAAATGAAAAGAAACCTACCAGGTAGGAGAAAATTTATACAATAAATTTTAGGGGTTTTGGATATAAACGGTTTCTATCCAAAATATATACGTAATTCATATGACTCAATAACAAGCAATCCAATTAAAAAATGGGCAGAGGACCTGAGTAGACATTTTTTTCCAAAAAAGACATACAGATGGCCAACACGTACATAAGGTGCTCGTTATCACTAATCATCAGGAAAATGCAAATAAAAATCATGGAGATGGCAGCTCATAACTGTTAGAATGGCTATTCTCAAGACAAGAAATAACAAGTGTTGGTGAGGATGTGGAAAAAAAGAGAACCCTTGTGCACTGTTGGGAGAGTAAATTGGTCCCAACAACTATGGAAAACACCGTGGAGGCTCCTCAAAAAACAAAAAGTAGAACTATGATATGATCCAGCAATTCCACTTCTGAGTATTTATCCAAAGAAAACAGAATCACTATCTTGAAAAGATAAAAGTACCCCTTACGTTCACTGCAGGCTTCCCAGGTGGCTCAGTGGTAAAGAACCTGCTTGCCAAATAGGAGACCCAGGTTCAGTCCCTGGGTTGGGAAGATCCCCTGGAGAAGGAAATGGCAACCCACTCCATTATTCTTGCCTGGGAAATCCCATGGACAGAGGATCCTGGTGGGCTACAGTCCATGGGGTTGCCCCAGAGTAGGACATGACTGAACAACTAAACAACAACAACGCTCACTGCAGGGTGGAGAGGGAGGTGGGAGGGGGGACCGGGATGGGGAATACATGTAAATCCATGGCTAATTCAATGTATGACAAAAACCACTGCAATGCTGTAAAGTAATTAGCCTCCAACTAATAAAAATAAATGGAAAAAAAAAGAAAAAAAATAGCCTCCAACTAATAAAAATAAAAGGGAAAAAAAAAAAAAAAAACAACGCTCACTGCAGCATTATTTACAATAGCCAAGACATGGATACAACCTAAGTGTCCATCAATAGATGAACAGATAAAGAAAATATGGCATATATATATATATATACACACACACACAATGGAAAATATTCCGTTATTCAGTCATAAAAAAGGAAGGAAATCTTGTCATTTTCGACAACATGGACGGACCATACTTTCACTTCTCTGCTTGCTTCAATTGCTCTGCTTGCTTGTTGATATCTGGTGTTTAGCCATTATGATGGTCAGGTAGTGATAGCTCTTTGTGGGCTTAAATTTAATACGCTATATAATTTTACAAAATATTTTATTTCTCTTTCCCACTAACAGGTAAGCCCCCGAAGGGCAGCGTTTCCTCCGTATTTGGCCCCTGCCCTCCTGGCCGTCAAACAGAATATAGCACATGGCACGTGCTTAGTAAACACCTGCTGGATGCGGACCTCTCCTCTGAGCACCCACTATGTCATCTCTGCGAGACACCGCCTATCTGAGGGGCGCTCTCCCACCCATACGAGCAGAGCCTGAGTCTGGGCTGTGCACTGATGCTGGGCACTAAGGGCTCAAAGAAGACTGGTGAGGAGACAGTGTCAGCTCCGGGCAGCGCCTCTTCTGTGCTGTTGGAGGGTTTCTGTCTGGGACTCGTGGGCCTGAGGAACGGCAGAGCTGGCCTTGGCTGTCCCGTGAGGGTGGAACAACCCCTGGTCTGGTTGCTCACCAGATATCTTGTGACCCAGCAGTTTCCTTCTCTGAGCCTCTCTTTGCTCCTTTACTCAACAGCAGACAGATCTGGGTCTAAAGTAGTTTTATCACTTACAGCATAACTTGGAACAAAATCTTTTTCTTTTTCCCCTCTTTTTGGGACATCTTAACAACTTAATCTTGCAACTCTTCTGTTGCATTTATTCCCTTCATATTTTTTTTTATCTTTCAAAAGTTCTTATCTCTGTATGATATTTTTGTTTTAGCCTCCTATACTCTTAACCAGAGCATGAAGGACTATGCCAGAGGTTCTCAACCTTAGCTATGTCACAAAAACCCAAGGAGCTTTTACAAACTGAGCTTACTCAGGGATTATGATTAAATTGGCCTAGGGTGGGGCCCAAGCATAGCTTGGTTTTTGTTTCTCAGTTGGCCGTCTCATCTTCACCAGAAATAAGCTCTTGCCACTGTCTCCTTTATATCTAGACTGGGACCTAGTACATAGCAAGCATTCACTAGTAACTGAATGAACATAGCACTCATTTGCAAAGGGAGTTTGCAAAATAAAAACAAGTTTTAGGTAGTCTGCTGTTTTTGTTCATGATATTTTTCCTAAATATATATGAAAACCTATTACCTGAAAGCCAAAAAACAATCTTGTATGTCAAAGCAGTGCTTAAGCCCAGACAATTAAAAACGATGAAATTCCCTATTCCATCTCACCTTTAGGCAAGTCTTCGACAACATATATCTTGTGAATGAGGATGTTAAAGTGTATTTTCATCTCAGTTTCTGCTGAGACCCCAAGGCAATATTCACCATATGCCAGGAGGGGAACAGGACGAATGCAGGACTGCAAGACAAAGCAGCCCCAAGTGAATTCACACCTCCTCCTGATCTTTAGCCCACAAAAGAGCTAGAAATCCAAGGACAATTTCTAGAAGCTGTGGAATTTGCTGGAGTCTCACCATGGGTGGAGGGAGTTGGGAGGGTGATTCTGCTTCACCTTGACTCAACAGAGGGGGAGTGTGCAGAGAGGACCCTGAGAACCAGGAGTCAAAAGGAAAGTTACAGGGGGCCAGCCAGAGAGAATGCATTATCCAAGTACGGGAATGGAAGGTTGGGCCTGCATGGTGGAAGGTAACGGGGGTGCAGGGACAAGAGCCAGAGTTCTGAAAACTGAGTAAAATGCACCAGAAGCACAAGCATCAGCTTTGAACACACACCAGGCTCCGAGAGGAAGAAGCCAGTATTTATCACAATACTGATAAAGTATGAACTGTCCTCATCTCACTCCCCTCTTTGCAAATAAGACAGTTCAAGGTGGGAAACAGGCCACAGTCAAGCACTTACTGTTCCCTCCGCTGCCAAGGGCAAGGCTGGCAGCACACCCAGCCTGAGGAAGGGGCAGCTTCTATCTCAAACACCTTTTAGCCGTTTTGTTACACTGGACCGGACACGTCATCTACTGATGGGGGAAGCCCAGGACTTGCCCTACATTCCATCCAGGGGCAGGGGAAGAGCAGGCCCTAGGGAATAAAGTTAAAGACATGGGAGACCCAAGTAAAAGTGCCCTTTGATCTAGCTGAGCTTGTTTAACATAATGGTAGGCCCAGTACTTTGAATGTGTTTGTGTTATTTTCTTTCTCAATTGAATATGATTCATCAGTTTAAGTTCACTGACCCTGGATTTCCTCGACCAATTTGATGTACCTGCCAATTTAATGATTTCTACCTATCGAATGACTTCTAACAAATCTTCAAATTTAATGATTTGTTCTTTGCTGCAATTATCAAATTCATGAGATCTCCATTTCTTCGTTCTTTTTTGGGTAATTCATGAGAACTTGGATTTGGTGCAGAAAGATGATTTAGGATTCTCAATGAAAAAATGCACAAAAAGAACAGTTGGGTTTGAGAGTCAAATATATGAAAAGGGAGAAAACCTGTAATTCCTGGAGTGTTTTGAGGACTCATTTCTGGGGAAAAGGCAATACCAGCTCACAGAGAAACATCCGAATTCCAGAACAGCAGCAGGGGCTGAGGAAAGATAAATGGTGAAGGGACGCGACCACTTACCTGAACTGCAGGCCCCCTACTTGGGGAGCCCAGCGATAGAATGGAGGGTGAAGATCACACCTGAAGGCAATCAGACAGGGGTTGCCTCTGGTGAGTAGACGTGGAGACGGCCTGGGCAGCAGCAGGAGAGAACTTTTTGGGTGGAAGTGATCTCGAAGGGCTGGGGGGACAGGGGTTGTATTGACAGGTGTAAGCCTTTGTTACTTCAGTGGTAAACGTGAGGTCTCTCCATTTCACTGTATGCAAATCTTACCGACTCTCCAAAAAGGGCAAACACACTAGTTAATGATATGCACGTGTAAGTGTTTAGGAGCGTGTACTGCCTGCAACTGTACTTCGAAATCTGGAGAAGGCAATGGTAACCCACTCCAGTACTCTTGCCTGGAAAATCCCATGGATGGAGGAGCCTGATGGGCTGCAGTCCATGGGGTCGCAAAGAGTCAGACATGACTGAGCGACTTCACTTTCATGCACTGGAGAAGGAAATGGCAACCCACTCCAGTGTTCTTGCCTGGAGAATCCCAGGGACGGCGGCGCCTGGTGGGCTGCCGTCTATGGGGTCGCACAGAGTCAGACACGACTGAGGCGACTTGGCAGCAGCAGCAGTGCTTCGAAATGTATCGAAAAACTGAACAGATGGATGGATGGAGGGAGGAATGGCTAGTTATGTGATAACACAGCAAAATGTTACTTGTAGCAAATATAGAATTAAATGGAGGATATAAAATTATTTCAACTTCTCTGTTTAAGAATTTTCAGGACTTCCTTCATGGTCCAGTGGTTAAGAGAGTCTGTGTTCCCACTGCAGGAGGTGTGGGTTCAATCCCTGGTTGGGGAACTGAGATCCTGCATGCCACTTTGTGCAGTCAAAAAAAAAAAAATTTTTTTCCCCCCCATAACGCTGGGAATAGAAACGCCCTGTTATTTGGGCAAATATACTTCTGAAACCCAGAAGCCATGCCCTTCCTCCAGTGTCAGTTTCTGACCTTAGCAGTTATTTTATTCCCGTCCACTTACTACTTCTAAGTACAGAAAACACTAGGGTATTCGCATGTGTTATAGCATTATTTAGTGGGATGAATCCAAGGCAAGCTTCCTGGGTGTGAGGTTCCACTGCCCAGGCGATTAGGAGGTGTAGCATCTTTATGTTCATAGACCATCTGGTTTTCCACAAAGCCAGAGGGAGCCCAAACTTTCCTCAGGGCCTAGAGGGAAGTTTTATGATGGAGAATTTTAAGGCAAACAAGAGGGAATGGTTGGGGAACTAAATGCAGGGAGGAGGGCCAGGTCCCCAAACCATTTCCAAACTCTTGCCCCGGAGCCAGACCTCCTATAGTCCTGTAATAGAAACCTGACCTCTCCTCTGGGGTAACTGGTTAATCAGACCATCTTCCTCTGCTACTCTTTTTGAACTAACTCAAGATAGAAGGACAAGGGAACCTTAGATTTGAATCCAAGTCTCAATAGCCTCTGAGAACAAAGAGAAGACAATGGTGGTCACATCGCACTTCCTTTCAAGCCCTGAATCTCTGAGATTATTACTGACCAGTGTCTGTGATCACAGCCTCCCGTCCACAGCGACTGCCAGAGGATCAGGTGTGCTTGAAGATTTGGGGGAAAGTATTTAAAAGGATTATTTCTATATTAAGACAAACAGATTATGAAGTGCAAAGTTCCTATGATCTTCCACTAAAACAGATTTTGAAGACATTTTGCTGAGCCCTTATAAACTACACCTAGGCTCCCAAGGGTATACTCTCCCCTGGGAGTGTACTCTGAAGGAAACTTCACTGGAAAATTTAGAAAAGCATTTTTGTTGGATGGACACACTCACACTGGAGATGGAGGTTACTGCTGGGGAAGGGAGCAGGACAAGGAGGGGAGAGCTAAGATCTGCTTTATAGTTTAAATCTTTAAACCTCTGTCCGTGTTAAGTCGTCTTAGTCGTGCTCTTTGTGACCCCATGGGCTGTAGCCCGCCAGGCTCCTCTGTAGATGAAATTCTCCAGGCAAGAATACTGGAGTGGGTTGCCATTCCCTTCTCCCAGGGGATCTTCCCCACCTTGGGATCCAACCCAAGTCTCCTGCACTGCAGGGGGAGTTTCCACCATCTGAGCCACCAGGGAAGCCCTTTTCCACTGAAACAAGAAACAAAAGACAAAAACAAACACTAACACAAAATAAATTCACGTAGTTTCTGGAGGGAAAAACCCCAGAGTGCTGCTGGATGACCAATGGCCTATGGCTTGGCTTCACTGAGTGGTAACGCGCCCCCTGAACCCGCCCCCATTGCACCCCATTCCGCGCCTTAAGGGAAGGCGGATGCTTACTCAGGGTGAACACATGGGTGAACCAGACCACTTAGGATTTCTGGGGAAGGCAGGATGGAAACAGCAGAGCTGCTGGAATCAGAGGCCTGTGCTCCGTCCATGAGCTCTCAGGCAAGCCAATCCCGAGAACCCAACTTCCTCATCGTTAAGACGCTGTACCACCCTGTGCACAGCGAGCTACAAGGGTGATATGAGCCACACCTGGCACTCAACAAATTTCACTCTCCTTTCCCTAGTGAAGTGCAGTCAGGAAAAAATCTTTCAAAACACGGATGGGGATGAGGAATGATAAAAGGGATGGGAGGGACGAGAGGCCCAGAAGCCAGGACAGCAGTTATAAACCGTGTCCAGCTCAGCAAGCGTGGCCACAGGTGCTGAAGGGGCACAGAGCCCAGGCTGCAGGCGGCGCAGGCTCAGCCTCCGGACCATGTGATCACACAGGAAGCGAGGCCTTTTCAACCCAGTGTTTAAAGACACACAGCCAGCCGGGTAAGCATTCTGGTTATTTTTAGTTAAAGAAAAACAGCCTTTTCCAAGGGCGACAAAGTCAGAAGGAAACAGGGTGTGGGCTTCTCACAAGCTCTTGCTCCAAAACCTGGACGTGATTTTCCTCCTGGAAAATCAGGGGCAGCTGGCCAGGAATGACGTTGGTGGGGTGGGAGGGGCTGCAGCCCACCCGGGTCAAGGACTGGTCTGGGAGGGCTCTAACGTGCCTTCCACGTGCCCGTCAGTGGACATGATTAAACGCTATTATTCTTGAGGGGCATTAAATTAAGGAATGACGCAGGGAGCCAAGAAAGCGGCTTATTCAGTTGGATTCTGAATCACAATCAGGAAATAGTCTTTATCTGCAAGAGAGGAAACAAGAAAAAAAAGAATCACTAACTGTAAAATGGGAGAAAAACACACCACAAAGCCAGTAAATCATTCAATCACCAACTGTAAAACGCTGGTGGGGTGGAGAGGGATAAAAAGCATCAATGCTCAGGCTGACTCCCCATGGCTGGGGAAACAAGATGAACCCGCACGTTTCCTGTACGGGCTTCTGCACACACGCTATAGGGAAGCGGGCTCCTAACCCTACCCACCGGTGGTGCTCGGCAGAGCATCCTCATTTCTAATCTTCCCAGTACCAACAGGGAGGTAGGGTTATCGAGTTTTTTGGGAAGCTCGGGTTCAGAGATTAAATGAACTGCCTACAGTACTGGTTCTCCAACTACAGACTGTTGGAATAACCTGGAGGGCTGTTTAAAACAACACAGATGGCCCCACCCAGAGGACCTGGACTCACTGGGTCTGAGGTGGAGCCTAAAAATTTGCATTTTAACAAGCTCCAGGTGATGCTGACGCTGCAGGTTCTGGGAGAACCACTTGTTTAAGGTTGCCAGGATAGTTAGTATCCAAGATGGAATTCTAACCTCAACCCTGCTAGTCTTGGGTTAATGTCAGTTCTGTCACAAGTTCAGTTGCTGATCTTCCAGAACCTTCTGGACTAGAAAATTTCAAAGGCACCAGGTCAAAGGGGGCCAAAGCACCTGAGTTCCAACTCTGGGGATCAAGCCAGTCAGGAGGAATGTCCGTTATGAAATCATAGCAAGTCCAAGTCCTCTGGGGTGAGCCTGACTGCCTCTCATTTTACAGAAGAGGAAACGGGAAGCGCAGAGTGTTTAAACTTTGCCCACTTAATAATCACACTCAAACATTTACCAAGGCTTTCCCATGCTGGCTCTGGGTTGATCCCTTCTCAAACAGCATCTCAGTGAATCCTCAAATCACTCTATGAGGCAGGGACCAGTGTTTTCTTATTTTTACTAATGAGAACACTAAGGCTCAGAGAATTAAATGACTTGGCCAAGCCAAGGCTAATATGCCAGGTGGGAGAGCTGAGTTTGACTCAGGTGCTGGGCGCCTCTGGGCTGCCTCTTGCTGAACACGTGATAAGCCTTGGCCATGTCTGCTTTGTGTCTATTCAGATTCAAGCCTGAACCTTGCTTCTTCCCTTGACAATGGACATCTCAGAAGGAGCAGCTATTATATGACCAAGTCTCATGGCTAAGCAATCTGTTTAAGTGAAAAATCACTAATAAAAATAGAAATAACAAGCTACCGGCAAAACTAATGAAAAGATACTATTAGCAATACTCATGTCTTTTCTTCCAAACAACCAGGCTCCACATTCAATAACAGCACTCCAGTGCTTTGTGGGAAATAGTGTGTTAAGGCTTGATTGCCCTGTGTTAACTCAGGTGTTCCAAGCAGACATTCTTAGAAGCCTTAAGCCAAGAAATGCTGTCCATGGAGAGTCTGGCGATTTGGAGACATCGTTTGTCCTTGTTTCACACTTCGAGCTCCCGGGGGGCACGAGGTCTGCTCCGATTTGGAGGGTTGGCAGCCTAACTTTTAGGGGAGTGGAGGTTTGTCTGTAACCATGCCGCGTGAAGTCTTGAGAGGGATTTGAGTTTAAATCTGATCTCAAGCTTTCTGTCGACCTTGTGCCAATATATTCAACCAGATGAGGACCAGGTGAGGACCATCAACCAGATGAGGACTGTCCCCTTACCAGACATTTTACAGAGATGGAAACAGGTTCATTGGTGCTCTGTAATTTGCTTAAGGTCGGACTCATAAGAGGTGAAGCTGGAAAACAGCTGGGGTGCCCGCTACAGTCTATTTTCTGACAGAATCAGAGACCTCATCATTGGTTGGTTGGCCTGAGACCCATTAGACAATGATTACGTTGATAAACAATGTATGTATGTCTTTGGAATAAATGACTCTGAAGTTATTCTGTTTTCAATTGTGACTGACTTGCTCTGTCCTCAGCCCTCTAGGGAGTGTCCCCAGGAAACTAAGGGCCCCTGTGACTGGCTCTATGGGTCTCTCCTTCCCATCCTTCCAAGCAGCTCCACTGGGCCCAGACAGGCCTGGGAACAGGAGCAGTGCTGCTCTGCTGCAAGGAGGGGCTGACCCCTCTCAAATTACCTCAGGATTCTGCAGCCAGCCAGCCGCCTGTGTCGCAAGCCCAGGGCCAGTCACTGTCCCAGCCTTGCCCCTGCCTGCCTTCGTCCAGGGCCCCAGTCACAATCCTATTACTGACTGCCTTGAAAAAAACCTCCGCTCACTAAGTCAAGTCCAGACAGCTGAGTTTGGCATCTGAGGCCCCTTCTAACTTGGACCACACACATCACCTCCCCTCCTTCCTAGACACATCCTGCTGCTCTAGACAGGCTGCACTGCAGGCACCTCCATCACCCCGTGCACACTCACCTCAGGGCTCAGCCACAAAGGGGACGGTGAGAGAGGATAACTGCAAACAGTGCTGGAGGCTGTCTACCACACCAGGCCGTGCATGTGAGTGAAGTGGGGCAGGGCAGGTGGCCCTGCTGACCCCTCCTGTGGGCCCAGTGCTTAGGGGCGCCTCTCAGGGTGAGCATCTTGTCACCCTGAGAATAGATGCTAAGACAGGTACTGCTTGTACCACACATTCCCCAAGTACTTCATGTGGAAACAAAGCAACCCGTTCCCATGCTAGAGGAAAGATTGTCTGCATGGGGACCAGAGAAACAGGACTGTATTTAAGAAGTGGGCAAATTAATATTTTTTGGGTTTTTTTTAGAATAAAATGAGTGCATGGAGTTTTGCCTTACAATTTGGTTTAGAATCACTGAACTCTTTTTTCTTCAGGCATAGCTTTTCCAACTCCACCACCCCCAATCCCAGCCCACTTGCTTCCTCTTAACTTGTGCCCTCAGAGTCAGCTCAAATGTTCCCTCCTGCCACAAGCAGGCCTAATCACACCCTCCTCCATGTTCCCAAGTGCTCCTTGAATTCCCCCAAATCATGACTGAGCAATTCACACACACACACACACACACACGTTGATGTCTATCCCCTCCATGACACCATAATTCCCTACTACAGCCCAGAACCCAGGACAGGGTCTGCCTAGAGACACTGTGAATGAGGACTCGCTGGGGATGCAAGCTGGGACAGGCCAGGCAATGAGACACTCAAATCTGTACCTTCTGCTCTTTAGGCCTTTCTCTGGAACCCATGGACACACCCATACCCAAAGACTTCCTGACAGCTACAGGGCACGCACAGTGAGGGTCTGCTCTCAAGTTGGGGTGGGGAAGACCCCTTACCTGGTGCAACCATAATTTCATTTTTCTTGGAGCGAATTCGAAGGAAGGTGAGGTCATTCTGGGGGTCAATTTCACGCACGGTGCTCCGGGCCTTCAAGATGAAGTTGTGCATGAGGTTGGCGTACTGTGTGGTAGTGGGATTGTCCATGGTGCTCTTGATGGGAATGCCTGAGGGGAGAGCAGAGACTGAGCAGAACCCTGGGAGTGCCTTTCTGCCCTGCTCCCAGCCCCACACCCAGAATTCCAGAGCCTAGACTGGCAGTTAACAGTCATCACCCACTGTTCACTGAGGACTTGACAGGCAAGTGCTGAGCACTTGAAGGATGTTAGCTCCAGTCCCCAGAACTGCTCTAAGGATGGCGTCACCGTCTTTACTTGTCAACAAGGCAACCAAAACTCTGAGCAATGAGGTGGCCTGCTGAGGTCTCACAGCAGATAAAACACAAGCAGTGGGGCCAGGATTGCAATGAAGGCCTGCTGGCTTCACTGCTGGGCTTCCTTCACAGGGCCACATACTGACTGGCTTCCAGCAACTACCTTCCAGAAGGATAGACTATTACTCATAATACTGAGAATATGAACAAAGAGAATAGTTCCTACAAATCTGTAAATACTGAGAAGTACAAGAAGGAAGGTCAGCCTGTGCCAAGACAGAACCATCACTAGTGTTTTGCTCTAGTTCCTAACAAGGAAGGCTTAGGGCTCAAGCATAAACACACTGTCTACACATGTGACTGTGCCCCCAAGTTAAAGCCTGTTTCTCTATCTGCACACACCCTTGTAAACAGCATTGCTACTGCTTTCAAAGAGCCCACAAGTGGCCTATTCCAGGGTTAATCATTCCCCTATTGCTGGGGACTCAGGCTGCATTTTTTACTTAATCACCTCGTAGTGAACAACATCCTACGCCAAGCCTTTTCTGTTTTGAGGACTGCTTCCTTGCGATGAACTATTAAATGGCCCACCCTCACTGGACGGTGCCTGTTGCCATGGAGGTGAGGAATGGGGCTTAGCTTGAGACACTTCAGGCCATGACTAGGTCATCAGGTGCCTATGAATCACTGTAACATGTCAGCTAGAGGCTCCATCGATGAGGCCCCGAGTGCTCAGTGCACAGGCTCTCGTGACAAGTGTGGCCCAAGTCACTCCCCACACACCAGTGGCTGGATTTCAGCTCTAGGACCCCGCCTTCTGGCCTATAACTGACCAGCCAAAGGATCAGCCAAAGACAGTCACCTGCAGACCTACCCATGGGTGGCAAGAAGCTCACCAAACCTTGTCTTATTATGGCATAGTGAGTGTGGGCAGAAGCGGGCATGGGAGCAAGAGAAGCAGTGAGTCAGAGGCTGCTCTGAGCCAAGTAGAGTTATGAGGATAGGTTGCAGTGATCACTTGCCTCTAAAGGAGAAGACGACCAGGTCACCAGGGCAGATGTTGTGTCCTGGGTGGCAACCAGGTACCCACCAGGGCCCCGAGAGGCCTCATTCAGTGGTGGAACCTTCCTCGAGACAGCAGTATAAGCAGCTGGGGAGATGACCAGTAGGAACTCTGAAATCGAGGACCTGGGCTTCTCCTCTGGCTCTGCCCCTTCCTGGCTACGTGGCCTAACACAAGTGATCTAACCTAAGCCTCCATTTCCTCATCTGTAAAATAATGCCTGTGCTTCACCGTGCTGCTGGGAGGACTAAATGTGTCTTAATTCATCTGAGAATATTGAGCAAAAGCATGCACAGAGTAAGTGTTGATTTATTACTGACATTACCCATGTTATAAACCCCACCCCCAGGTAACCTGAGGGGCCAATCTTGAGGCCTGGCAAAGTCTGGGGTTGCGGGGGTGGGTGGGGTCAAACCTCTTGACTTTCTTTTTGTATTCCATCAGGCCACCTTCTCTCAGGTCCCTCTGCCTGGAACTTTCTTTCCCTTCCCTACTCTCCCCTGACTCCCACTGTCCCTCATGCCTCCCTCCACCCCCGGACATGGTCAGCGCCCCCATTCTACAGTCCCAGCACCATGCCGCTGTCCTGCAAGGCAGTTAAGTCTGAGATCATGCCTGCACGGGAGTGATTGTGACGCCTGTCCCCAGCAGACTGGACGCTCCCGAAGGGTCAGAGGCAGATCTGATGTGCTCACCAGTGTCTTTAGGGAGACTGCATCAAATATTTATGGCTGTTGTTAAAAAATGAGTAGACACAAGTGTGCTTTTAGTAGTTCAAATATACTGTCAAGAGTGTGATCACATGTCTACCAAGTGAGAAGGTGTGTAAGGGAGAAAAGAAATGAACGTCTTGTTGGCTCACTGTAAGAATGAAAATGAAAACATGGAGCTGGCAGGGTGGGGACGGAGGGCAGGGACCAACACTGGGGATAATTTCAAACAAGCACAAGAGAGAATTCCAGATTCACAGGATGCCAGAGCTGGGAAACACCTCAAAGACAGCCAAGTGAATAGGCAGCCTACTGCAGGCCATGGCCTCCACAAACGGGGGCTGAGCGCCTGCAGTGGTGGCTAGTCACCTCAAAGCCATGATTTCGAATCTGGGGGTCAGCTCTGTCAGGTTGTATAGCCAGGTCTGCCCACCAAAACACACTAATAAAACTTAACAGGTATTTATTGAGAACCAACTTTGTGTCAGCATTACTGCGGGTACTGGGGATACAGAAATGATCACAAGAGATAAAGCTCTGCCCTCAGGGACTTACACATTTGAGACTTTTATTTGGCCCTTCATGGGTAGCAGCAGATGGCAGGAGGTCTGGAGGGTACAAATAGGATGTTCCTTACATTCCATTCTTGGTTAAGTCTGCTTAAAGGTACATTTTTATTATGAAACATCATTTAAATCTGGCCAAGGGTGAGACATCACCAGGCAGTGGCAGGTTGTTGGTAAGTGATTGGGACAAGAGCATGTCCTGATTTCAGGGGTGGGGAGCAATCCCTCCAGGCTGAGCTGGTCAGGAGGACATCCTGCTGGAAGAGGCAGCTGAACTGAATCACGGAGGTGGAAAGCCCCAGAGGAGTATCAGAGATCCCTAATACAATCACCCTGACTGAGCACCTCTAATGCAAGCCTTCAGAGGGGCTAAGGGTCCCCCAGAGCAGTGAGTTCTGACCACCTCCATTTGTGGCTGGGTGATCTGGGGCAGGTCAACCTGACTGCTCTCGGCTTCCATTCTTTCATCTGAAAAATGGGCAAACATCCCTGCTTTGCAGAAATGTGTGAAATGTAAATGAGAATCTGAAGTGGGAGATCTATGAATGGACCACAAATTAAAAAACACACGGAATTTCCTGGTGGTCCAGTGGTTAGGACGCTATACTTCCACTGCAGAGAGCATAGGTTCGATCCCTGGTCAGGGAACTAAGATCCTGCATGCTGTGTGGCTCGGCCATCAAATAAACAAACAGGCAAATAAATAGATGGATAAATAAATAAACACAAACACAAGAATTTTTGATATTCATGTGGCATTTACTATACATCAGGCACTGTTCTAAAAACTTCCCTTAGAAAAAGATAGTGTGACTGTCCACATTTTACAGATGAGGAAACAAACTGAGAGGTTAAGTGATTTGTCTAAGATCACATAGTTGATAAGAAAGTAGAGTCAGGATTCACACCCAGGCAGTCTGGTTCCACATTCCATATTCTTAGCTACTGTGCCATACTGCCACATTAGTATACAAAAAATAAGTGCTCATCAGTTTCAAAGAGGTAAGAAGTTGGGGTTATATTTTCCTAATGAAAAAGCTCAACTTTGGGGGCAGTTTTAACACAAGAATGAAGGCTTCTGGTCTGGAATACTGGTGGAAGTCTAGGGGGTCCCAGCTGGGGAGTTGGCCCCTGAGGCAATTTCTCCTCAACTGGGGTCAAAAATGTCTATTTACAGAAGAGTCTCATACCAAGTCTTCTGGGTCTTGGAGCAAGGAGCTCCTTGGAGCAAGGACCAAGAAGGCGGCTTAAGGCAGCTAAGTTCTGAAGAGGGGAAGGGAAAGCCCTGGCCGCCCAGCTGATTACTGGTGGGCCTGAGATGCCTCCCAGTGTCCTCAGGCTCCCTACCCCACTGCCTCCTTTGAATGCAGTGACCACACGGTTTAATCAGAGCCTGACAAAGCTGGGGCGCACATTCTACCCAGCTATGGGCTGGCCGGGGTCTGATGACTTGGAAAACATTCTAACTGAGGACATGCCACCTTCAATTTGTCACCCGTGGTGACTTTCATTCTGCTCTATTTAAGCAGGCACTGTTGAGAATTCTGCTGCTCCAAAATAAGGCATAGAATGACAATGCATACACACAGAGGCTCTCAAGGAGCCTCAAACAAAGCCAAGCTGACTGAATGCACTGGGTTAGAAAACGGGGTAGGGGGTCCCAATTGGGTGACCCTGGACATGGCCTGGGATTCAGTCCAGTAGCCACTCTCTGGTCCTTCGTGGAACCCTGTGGGAGAGAGAGCACAAGTGCGCTCGGCCAGATTTGGGATGAAATCTTGGCTCTATAATGGCAGGCAAATCAAATTTCTAGACTCACTTTTCTCCACTGCAAAATGGAGACAATAGAGCCGCTTCAAGGTATGACAGAAATTATATGTCTGTGAAGCACCAGTCCGTGGCCTGGCAGAGAACAGGTGTGTGATAATACTGGTCTCCTTCTTCATCATGTCTACTGTGGTTTGAGAACAATTAGCATGTACCCTTTCACAGTTGTTGAAATAATGTCCCAGAAGAGGAAAGAAAACTATAGGCCCAAAGCAGTTGACAGCAGTATTACATAGCAAAAAGAGAAGCAGAAACAACATAAAGGGAGAATGGAAAATAAACAGTGTACTGCAAGTTAAAAAGTTTGCTCATGTAAACCATAGAGCAAAATCAAAACAAAACCCCAAACAAAAACTCATGAGTAAACAGATGCAAGAGAGTAACAACTATAATTATGACCAAGAGAAAAGGCACTGGACAAGGGCTGACTGAAGAAGTACGGCATGCTGAGAAGTATGACGTGTCAGGGCAGTAGGGTAGGGAGGATTTTTCCTTTTTTTAATTTAGAATTCTAGTAATAGTGCTAGGAAACTGGAGGTGATTTAAAAAAAAAAAAAACAAAAGGATGAGAACTAGATCAGGTACATGAGAGGTTTAGTAAAAAGCAAGTGTTATGCTGTGTTGGGCTCTTTTCTAAAGGCCGGCCCGCACTCAGCTCATGGCTGGAAGGAGGGTGTACCTTCTGTGTTTACCACGATGATTCCCTGCACGCCCTTCTGGCTCTGGAGTCGCTTCAGGGTCTCCTCCACCTCTGCCTGCCAGAGAGAATACGACCAAGGTTAGAGCGGTCAGGAAGCCTGGATCAGCTCCCTCGTACCCCCGGCAGATGACTCACACTTCCCAACAACAAACACCCAGGCACGTGGCACCACCTCCTTCAAGCTCCCCTGGACTACCTAGAACAGCCCTGAGGCCAGCACCAGCATCTAAACCATCACATTCCCAGTGTGGGGTGGGGCTGCCCCTTCTGCCCCCCAGGGGCTCTCTGCCCCTCACTTAGTAGGCAGCAGAACTCAAATACCATTCCCAGGAGTACAGGCACATCCATGACTCAGCTAGGGGACAAACCAGAGGAAACTAATGATTTTAAAAATTCCAAATGGAGGTGTCTAACAGGAAGGAGATACACTGTCATTTGTGGCCCAAAGAGCACATTCCAAAGGAAGCAAAATGATCCCATGAGGATGGACTCAGTGACTAATAAGCTGGCACCTGGGACAGTGTGACACAGCACACAGCCAGAGGAAAGGCAGAGGAAGGGGCTCATGAATCCTGCATCGTCAGGAGCTGGTCTGGGTGGGCTACTCTGGCACATGTGATTTGTAAACAGAGTGGACAATCAGACTGTGAGTCCTCACCTCGCCAGGCAAGGCCTTCTCTGTTATTACTCCCGTCTCTTCTACCCTTCCCTCCACTCTCCACCTGCATGCCTGTATCTCCCTGCCTCCACAGCTTTTTACCAAACAAGGCCTCTTCTTCGCTGAAATACAACAAATTCTTCAGGATCATCTTAGATATCACATCCTCCATGAAGCCTTTATGGATTCCAACTCAGTGGCCTTTGGCCATTTCCAATGGACTCCCTGAACTCTTGACTGTATCTCTCTGGGAATTAATAAGTGCTGTTTGACTTAGAGTCTCTCTAATGGTCTGCAGAGCAGGGACGCAATGAACAGTTGTTAAACTGAACTAGGCCTAACTCCCCCTGCAGATGGAAACTGGTATTCAAGTGCGTTTGTTTTCAGGAGGTCCCTCCTAGCCCCATCCAGAATCTAGTCAGGAGCTCCTCACAGGCTGCGGGTCGGACTCTTGGACACAGAGGCTCTGTTCACCAAAAGAGAGTGGTACTCCGCCTTCACAGGCTGATGAGCTGGCCCAGAGGAGGAGCTTCTCAACAGAGGATGAAGACAGCACAAAGAAAGATTGTTTTTCTAGTAGGCCCAAGCCTCACAATCCAGTCACTGCCACCCACTCTCCACTGATGTGTGAATACTCTCAAATGCTGGAGGGAAGGGCAAACAAGTTCCTCCTACAAAATGGCAAACAGCCTGACGCCTCTGTAATCTGGAGTCTTGGTAAAAGGACATGGCTAGCTATGTGGACTGAAAGTACAATGCAGTAGGTTATGCGTGGATGAGATCTTAATTCATTCATCAGATTTTCACTGAGCTCTGACCACACACTATTCTGGAGAGGAGCAATCAAGTATTATATGATAGTGGTCAATACTACATAGCACTCAACCAGACCTGGTAACCCTCTTGGAAATTCATCCTAAGGAAACGATCCAAGAGAATTAAAAGGAGAGTACGGCAAGATGTTTGCTGCAGTGACATCTTCAATAACAAAAAGCAGGAAGAGCCAAAACTGCCCAATATTTAGGGAAAATGTCAAAGGGATTATGAATGTCCATTCATAGGAATATAACACATTAACAATGGTGACCAGGATATTTATAACACCTTAAAAAGAAAGTGCTTGGGAAATGGCATCCACATGAAAACAAGAAGAGGGCTAGAAGAATCATGAACAAAATAAAAAGCCACACCGAGAGTAGGGAACTATAGATAAGGTTTTCTTTTGTTTTTTTTAAACAGCCTCTTTTACTCTATTATTTTTATTTAAAAACATTTTTAAACCCATCTCTCTGTGTATCCAAGAGATTAGAGATCTCTGACTTGGGACTATGGAGCTCTGGCAGTCTCAGCATTGTAAGAATAAGAATACCCTGGTGGCTCAGATGGTAAAGAGTCTGTCTACAATGCAGGAGACCCGGCTCGATCCCTGGGTTGGGACGATCCCCTGGAGAAGGAAATGGCAATCCACTCCAGTACTATTGCCTGGAAAATCCCATGGACAGAGGAGCCTGGTAGGCTATAGTCCATGAGGCCGCAAAGAGTCGGACATGACTGAGCGTAGAAAGACAAAAGAATAAGTAGGACGTAGTTTAGGACATTTCAATCAACATGCAATCAAACTAGGGATGGGGAAAGCTAAAGATGCCAGAATCAAAGTCCAAAATACCCTGAGAGGTTGGAAAGTGAGGCTTAAATGAAAAAGATGAAATTTTGTAAGATGGTTATTCATTCAATAACTGTATGGGAATCTTCTATGTGTCAGGTGTTGTTTTAGGCCTAGGGATGCTGTACTGGACAAAATACAATGAAAACCCTGCTCTCATTGAGCTGACTCTGGGGGTGGGGTGGGCAGAGGGAATCAGACTTTAAGCAAAAGCATAAATAAAATACAAAAGTCAGATTCAGTAGGGATGGGGGATCTGGAAAGCAAGGGGCTGATGGCAATTTTAAACAAGGTGGTCAGAGAAGGCCTCGCTAAGGTGATAGTTGAATAGAGATCTGAAAGGAAACAAAGGAGCTAACCAGGTGGATTTCTAGGGAGAGTCTTCCAGAAAAAATGCAAAGGGGCCAGTGTGGCTGAGGACAGTGAGTGGCAGGCAGCCAGATGAGAGGGAGGCAGGATCAGACTAGATTTCAGAGGTATCATAGACCAGAGTGATGACTTTGGTTTTTAAAGGCAGCGGGGTGTGAGGAGCCACTAGCAGGTTTCGAGGTGAGCAATGACAAGATCTTTTTCGTAAGGATGCCCTGGCTGCTGTTTGGAGAATGGACTGCAGGGGGCAAGCACAGCCTGCCTGAGCCCAGCCTAGCCTGGTGAGTGCTGCTCCTTCTGAAAGCGGGCTACCCTCCTCTCCTTCACTCACCACCAAGTGTAACTAACTCCCAAGTCTCTGGACTCTGCTCATGAGCCTCTGTGGGAGGCCTGCTCTGGATACCTGCCCATCTTCTAGGTACCCAAGGCACCCTGACTCCATGGCACTTATCAGCAATGAGTATAACTGTCTGTTCTGCTTATCTCCTCCTCCAGACCCAAGGTAACCTGGGAGCAGGAACCCAGACTTTGTAATCCCAGTACCTGGTACAGTATAGGCTCAATAGATACTTAAGGAACAAATAAAAACCATTTCCGCAACTGTGTCTTATAAAAATCAACCTTTTAAAGTACAGTACCCTGAGCTTACAGTACCCAACACGATGAGTGGGGGTGTAGATGATCCTTAATTTAATGAGAACTAACCACTGAGATCTAGCTGCTTAAAAGGTAAACATGCTTACCAAGAAAGGCAGGACACACAAGTATACCCGACCTACTCAGTATCTGCTATAGGTCAGATATTAGGATGAATGTCTTCAGACACGTCTCATCTGAACCTTCCATGGTTAGCATGAGCTCCATCTTACAAGGAGGAAACCAAGGTTCAGAAAGGAGAAGCGTTTTGCCCAAGGACACACAGTAGGTCAAGAGAAGTGTCGAATACACCACTGACCACAAATGAAGATGTCCCCATCCTCACGAGTTCAGATTTTGGTATAAGAGACTTTCAAAAACAAGTGGCAATATTCTTTCAGGGTACAGGGTACAGGTGGGCGGGGTGGGCAGGGGGATGCTTCTTGGATGAGTGTGGTCAGGAACACCCGAGGATGTAATCCTTAAGAACTAAATGACGAGAAAGAAAACTACTCCAGGAAGCAGCATGAAAGCTAACACAGTGAAATGGGAAGGAGCTTGGCATGTTCGAGGAATAGAGAGAACCAGTAATGGAAGGTTTCTGATTCTCTGCTAATCTGACAGGCAAAACCCAAATAAGAGAAAGTCAACCTTTCTTTAATTTTTAAGAATTATCAGCGAGGGGACCTCCCTGATGGTCCAGTGGTTAAGAATCTGCCTTGCAAGGCAGGGGATGTGGGTTCGATCCTCAGTCAGGAAACTAAGATCCCACATGCCACGGAACCATGACTATTGCGCCCCCTGGCCTCAATTAGAGAATCTGTGCCCTGCAACGAAGTTCCCACATGCCAAACTAAGACCCAACACAGCCAAATAAATAAATATATGTTAAAAAAAAAATAATAATTATCAGTGAGGCTGTCAGAAGAAAAACAAAACTTATCAGTGAAGTTAAGCTGGAATTTACTGTTTGCATCTCTCCTTTTTCGAGTCTTTTGCTTTTTCTACTAATTTTATTGATTTTCAAAAACTCTCTAAGTTAGAAATTTTAGACTTCTGCCCATCATATAAATTACACTTCTCCCACTTTTCTAATTTAAGTTTACAGTGTTTTTCAATAATCAGAGGTTCTGAATTTTTATGTAATCAAATTTAATAAGAACTTTTTCCTGGAAGACTAGAGAATAGCTTCTCCAACCTGACCACAGCCAGTAGGGTGGTGTTATGGGGGAGTAGAGGTCATGAGGTCTACAGGAGGCAGTAGGCACCTGCCTTTAGGAGAAACTGCTTAAAACAAATGTCAGGTTCAGCCCTGAAGGAGCAAAGAAAGAAAACAAATGATGCCATAAAGACAGGAGCAGCCACAGCAACATCAGCAGATGCACGAGGAGTCCTAACCAGCCATCCAAATCATTCCACCTCTGTCTCTAAAGTCTGTTATCCCTGCAGTGCTAGCTGACTGGTACCAGATATATCTAAGTAGATATGTAACGCCTCGGGTTTGGCTCACATCTCAAAATTCCTGCCCTGCTCCTAGAAAGAGCCCGGCTGGGATCCTCAGCACCCCGAGTCTTTATTTCTATTAACATGGGTGTCTGCACCAGAGAAGGGACCAGGCTCCTGGGTTCTCTAATTCCTAGGTGCATGCTGCTGACAGACCAAAAAACACTCCAAAAAAAAAAAAAACAAGTAGCAGTAAAACTCCAGGATTATTCACTGGTTTGGCACAGGAGGGATAACCACTGAAGGAAATGATTCACAAAGAAACTGTGACCAACGTGACGACCAAGCATAAAAAAGTTTTAATTTCTATTAAACAAAAACGAATTACAAGGAGGGGACAACATCTGCATCAAATATAACAGAACAAAGAGTAATTTCAAAACATCACATAGGATGATTAAGAAAAACAGCAAGTCTCTAAAAATTAAGTGGGCAAAAAGGATAAGAGGAGAAAATATACCTCAAGGAAACCACAAACACAAGAAAAACGTTCAATGTTCCCTGTAAATAAAGACATGAAAATTACAGCAATGCCGAGGTTATGTTTTTGAACGCTGGCAGTTATTACGGCAAAACTGGTACAAAGGCAATAGACCTTCTGGGAAAGCTACAGGACTACATTATTATGAGAATCACATGTGCTGATCCCCTTGCTTCAAATTCTTTGAGAATTTCTCCTAAGGAAATAATCTAATAAATGTGGAAAAAAAAAAAGAAAAACAAACTACACATTCAGAGACATTCATCACAGCGTTATCTCTATTGCTGAAGAACTAGATGTAACCCAAATGTATACTGGGGGAATGGTTTGGCAAATTATGATAAAAATATTTCATTGATTATTATGTAGTCACTAAAAATGATTCATTACAAAGAGAGATAGCAACAAAATTATATGTCTTTGGGTATTAAAACAAACAAACAAAAAACTAGCAGGTACATCTTGAATGTGAATACATGAACAAAGAGGAAGGAGAATGTACAAAGATGAAAATATTTGTGTGATGGAGCAACACTGGATGCTAATTATAGCTGATTTTTATTACATCACCAGCGTAAAGGGCAATTTGTCATTTTCTACCAAAATGTTCATGGGGTCGCAAAGAGTCGGACACGACTGAGCGACTAACACACACAAACACCCCCCGCAAGATGTTAAAATGTGCACGCTAGAAGTATCACTACTACATAACGCTACATAAACACGAGCATGAGTGGGGGAAAAAAAAACCAACAGTACTGCAGCATTGTCTGGAGTGAAAAACTGTAAACCACCTAAGTGGATATAATGCAATGGAATAGGAAAATAGTCCTATAAAGAATAAAATAGATTTGTATGTATCAACATGAAAAAATATCTGGTATTTTTTAGTGAACAAAGTTAAAGAATGAGATTATACATATAACCTAAAGTAAGCTTGTGTGTGTGCTTGCTCAGTCATGTCCGATTCTTTGTGACCCCATGGACTGTAAGCCTGCCAGGCTCCTCTGTCCATGGAATTGCCACTTGCTACTCCAGGGGATCCTCCCAACGCAGGAATCGAATCCTTGTCTCTTACACTGGCAGGCGGATTCTTTACCACTGTGTCACCTTAATATGTATAAATACATCAGTTCCAATTTCATGAAATAAACATGTTATATACAAATGTGCTTTATGCACTAAACAAATCTGTAAGAAGATGTATCCAACTGTCAACCGTGATCAGCAGAGGGGAGTGAGATGGGGACTACACACACTTTCCTAAGTTACGTATTTCAGTAATGCTTAAATTTGTTAAAACATGCATCTAAAGTATTTTTTGCTTTTATGAATATAAATACACAATAGCATGGTACAGGTTGCAGGAAGCTCTGATTCGTGTAAGAAAAAGGGGTCTCATATATATGTGTGTGTGTGTGTGTGTGTGTGTGTGTGTGTGTGTGTGTATATAAAGCTATGACAAACCTAGACAAAGCTATGATATAGCTAGAAAACCTAGACATTGCTAGAAAAGCTGACAAACCTAGACAGCATATTAAAAAGCAGAGACATTACTTTGCCAACAAAGGTCCATCTACTCAAAGCTATGGTTTTTCCAGTAGTCATGTATGGATGTGAGAGTTGGACTATAAAGAAAGCTGAGAGCCGAAAAATTGATGCTTTTGAACTGTGGTGCTGGAGGAGACTCTTGGGAGTCCCTTGGACTGCAAGGAGATCAAACCAGTCAATCCTGAAGGAAATCAGTCCTGAATATTCATTGGGAGGACTGATACTGAAGCTGAAACTCCAATACTTTGGCCACCTAAAGCAAAGAACTGACTCATTGGAAAAGACCCTGATGCTGGGAAAGATTGAAGGCAGGAGAACGGGACAACAGAGGATGAGATGGTTGGATAGCATCACCGACTCAATGGACATGAGTTTGAGCAAGCTCCAGGAGTTGGTGATGGACAGGGAAGCCTGGTGTGTTACAGTCCATGGAGTCACAAAGAGTCAGACATGACTGAGCAACTGAACTGATATATACATATAGATATAATAAAAGAAACTAACAATGTTTGTTTCTGAAGGAGACTGAGGTTGGGGGTCACGGTTGGGTGGGAGATCTATTTTTCACTTAGATCTTTTCAGATTTTCTTTTTAACTGTGTATAAGATTTACCTGTTAAAAGTTAATTTTTCTTTTACAGTTTAAAAAGTGATGTGAAAGATGAAGTTACTTCCTCTATACTATAAACTAGCTAACTATATAAAGTACACTGTTAAACTATGTAGAGGAAGAACTGAAGAGAAAAAGACTAATAGGAGTAATATACCTAATCATAAGTCGTTACCTAACTCCAGATCATGGCATTGTTTTTTCTTCCTTTTCTATTTTTCTTATAGTCTTTAAATATACTATATAAGATTTTTAAAAACCATTCACAGGCTTTAAACGTGGGAACGGTTTTAAACCTGATTTAACCTTGAAAAGGTCTTCTCAAGTTATTTTAAAGTTGGGAGGATTAAAAACACAAGAAAACAAACCTGTAAAGTCGTAAAGAACCCACAGTTCCAGCCAGCAGGGCAGGAACCCCAAGGGTGGATCCCGCTCGTTTCTGACTCATGCATCATGTCCCAGCGGCTCGAAAGAACGACAGGGACACAAAGACAGCAATCAAGCTTCTAGGGTGCAAATCCACCTCCGCCATTTCCTGGGGGCAAGACACTTAGCTTCACTGGGTTTTAGATTCCAAGTATGTAAAACGGGGATAATAGGTGCACCTACTTATCTACGTAGGTACACCTACATAGTTATGGGGTGTACCTACTTGTAGATATGTAGGCATGGGGAGGCGTTTAGCAGAGCCAGATACGAATTAAGCTTCCTGTAAATGTAATCATTATAGTTACAGTCGCGCAACAAGGTCCAGGATGCTAGGATGCTAGGATGCAAGGGTTTGTGGGCAGGCCTCCCCACCTCCGTCCACCCCTAGCCGAGGCCTAAACAACTGCTTCCGGTCAAGGGACTGCAGGATCCGGTGGCCCCGCCTCAGTCCCTTCGGAGTCTGGAGGCCCGCGCCGCCCCAGTTCCGCCCTCCAGACAGCTCGGGTCCGACCCCGCCCAGCCCCGCGGATGCCCAGCCAGGCGCTCAGAGCCGTCCCCGGAGGATAGAAGGCCAGGCTCATGGTGGTGGAAAGTCGTGCTCGGCCACCTCCCGGCCGCCTGCCACAAGCTCCCAGCGGACACTCACCATCTCGGACCGATCCGGTAGCTCCGCGTCGCCGGCCCTCAGCCCGGTCTCGCAGCCTTTCTGCGCCTGCGCACAACTGCCTGTCAAGGCGGACAGCCTCGGTAGCCTATCAGAATCCAGCGTAGGACGGCGAGGCGGGCGGGTAGGCGGGTCTTAGTCAGCTCCCTCAGGGCTCGAGGGGAATTTGCCTTGTGCAATCATAAAGTGAACGGCGAGAGAGCAAAGGAGCACTTCAGCTATGGAAAATTCCTAACTCCCACTGTGCCGAAAAGATGCTGGTTCGCGTTGTTGGAAGAGGCTTTCAACCCTCAACCGAAGTCTTGAGCTAGCTCTGGGTGGAGGGTGATGAGCGATTCTGAAGGCGAGGACTGGGGGTGCTGAGGCCTTTGCTCTCAGGTTGAGGCAAAAACAAGGCGCGAAGCCCAAATGCTCTAAAAACGCGAGAAAACCTGGAGTTCGGGCTGGAGTCAAGCGTCCTTGGGGGTCTCCAGAGCGACTCGGGAATATTCCATGCAGGCTCTGAGAAGTGGTCAAGGCTAGTCTGGCAGTCTGCACACTTTGAATCCTGTGTTCCCTTGGAGAAGCCACTTCACATTTCTGTGCTCCCTCACCTTCTAGACCTGTGTTGTTCCGTCTTCCACAAAACTGTGTTTTCTAGCAGGAAATGATTTACTAAATAGTGAACCTCGTGCCAACAGCCTGGGCTGACACCCTCCCTTACTCCAGTAGACTCAATTTAGTTTCTTCTAGTCACTGGAGTTTGCTGGATTTCAACACAGATGATCTAGTTCCCAAATTTCTTTCCACCGTAGCCTCAGTTGGGGAGGACTTGGTTCTCTTTCCATGGGCGTCCGCAGGTTAACAGGGCTGAATAGTGACTTTACAATGAGTAAACCAGAGGGTCAGGTTAACATAGCTGGAAACGGACATATTCATACATGCCCTTTGATACCATGCACCAAGGGCACTCCACCTCCGGTTTTGTTTTTTTCCACAAAAATCCATGGCCTTAACTATGAGAAAACATTAAACTTGAGGGGCATTCTACAATGTGTCCGGGAAACACTCTTCAAAAAATATCAAAGTCATGAAACACTAGGAAGGAATGAGGAACTGTCACAGATTGGTCGAGACTGAGAAAATCACTGGTGAAAAAACTGGTGACAGCTGTATAAAGGTTTAAAAAGTTCAGTATAAAAGTTGAGGGTTATTTTATTGATGGTCAAGTTTTTATAATTGTACCAAGTTATATGGGATGTTAACATTGGGGAAAGCCTGGGTGAAGAGTTGTGCGGGAGTTCTCTGTACTGTTTTTGCAACAGTTCTGTAAATCTAAAATAATTACAAAGTAAAGTTTTTTTTTTTAAAAAGGATTGGACACAAATGATTATTGAATGCGGGAAACATTTGAAAAGTGTTTAGCAAGGGGAAGAAGGATAGGGTGACTGGACCCCAAGATAAGCACAGGAGTATCATGACCATCTTACATACGGTAAACCAGACTGAGGGGGGTGAATGAATTGAACAAGATCATAATCATAAAAGTAAAAAAAAAAAAAAAAAGAGTATGGCCTATAGTTCATGTGACTGGCTGGAGCCAGAGTAAGAATTAAGGAGGCGTTGGAAGGAGTTAAAGCTTTGAGTGATAGGCTTTTGAGTTTTGGAATTAATATTCTGTGGAATGGAGGAACCACTGTGGAGAACTATTTGAGACTAAAGTCTTCCACAGATCATTCTGAGGCAGCACAAATGGACCAGAGAGAATGAAAGTAATGACAAGTTGCTACAGTCAGTGAGGGTAGGGATAAAGGATGTGGGCTGTGGCAATGGGGGCAGCTCTGAAAGAAATGATTCTCAAGTTTTGGAGGTGGACTTAACAGGATCTGAAGACCAATTAGATGGAACAGCTGAACTAGTTATGGAAGACTCCCAGAGTTGCTGTTAAGTAGAAGTACAGCAAAATGTTTAAACACACAGTCTTTGGAGTCAGTCCTGGATTCCAATTTGTACTCTTGCCGTGTAACAGCTAAGGACACTTGTAGTTTCTCAATCATGTTGAACCTATTTTCTGTAAAACAGAGATGATCATTCATCTGTGAAAGTGACCAGGAACACTAAATGACAGTGCATGTCACATATCTGAGTGTTTGGGATATAGTAATAAATGCTGAGAGTTGTCCCAGAGTAAGTGAATAGAGGTGTGATATTGGTTGCTAGGATAGAGAAGACAAACAGAAGAGGTCTGAATTAGAAATGAGGAAAGTAACAGCGTGGCTGTTTTCACTTATCTGCAGGAGTGACTAAAAAGTTTCAAGGTCCTTCCTTGTGAGTTGCTTTGAGGAAACCCTGATGCTCACAGCATCTTTGCGCAATGGGAACTTGTTCATGGGGGACCAATACTGTCCTTCCTAGGTCTCCACTTAAGACCTGAAAGATTCCCATGGATCCTCCCCCTAAATGTCCTGACCCCAAAGCAGCTTTACAGACACATGGAAACTGACCAATGAAATGAGCTGGGAGTGACAGCAGTTTGTTTTAGAGTTCTACAACATGAGATCCTCTTTCTTTAAGTCCAGAGACTAGCAGCCAGTCAGCCACAGCTGAGTCCCAGTGTGATGCTCTGAAGAGTTTGGGGCTAGAAAGCCAACTGTTCAATAAAAATAACTACTTATTTTCCCAGGGAGGATTTCCTCATGCTGGGGGAAACACGTCTTCCCTCTCTTCCTTAGCAACGGTGAAACTAGAGCTTCCTAGCTGCTTATATAGGACAGATTAAAAACGATAAGATCTACTTTGAAGGATCTCCAAGAAACCTATCTCCCAGTCACTGCTAGATCACCATATTAAAATAGATTAAAAAAAAAACAAAACCCACTTCCCTTAGCGTCTTTCCACTGGGTCAATTTTAAATAACAGCATGATCAGTTGGTTTTCCTATTAAGAAAAACTCTTGTTAACTAGCTGGTGATTCTCTATTGCTATTCTCTATGGCTGAAATCCTGTCTTAGGGCACCCTTAGTTGTGCCAGAAAAGGAGACATCTTCATCTTGGTTCTCTTCAACACAGGCACCAAATCCAGTCTCACCGGAGTCTTTCTAGTTTTTCTCCCATCTACTCCAAGCACAGACAGGCAGTAACTTGCCCACTTACAAAAGCAGAGGGGGAGAAATCTATACATCCTGGTCACATAAAAGGCTTCCCTGCAGGTGGGGAAAACCCTATTCAAGACTAATAGCAAAGTGTGCAAATTAAGGACCAAAAAGTTTAATTGTAAACAGTCTTACATCTTTTAAGGAAATGCAAGGGAAGGAGCCCCCTGCAGGACCTTTATAACAGCACTTGACTCCCTATGGTATCTGTAGAGTTACCTGAGTATTTGAAATTACAATTTAAGAAAACAAAGGAACTCCAATACAATAATATACAATCCAGTGCTGCTATTCCATTTTTGGTTAACAAAAGCATAGCATAAATATAAATAATTCTGAAAGCAACTTTAAAAAAAAAAAAAATGAAGGGGGCTGGAGATGCCAACAGTATTAAATAGAAGTAGTTAACCTAAAGGAATTTAAAAGGATGGAGTTACATCCAAAACAAGGAGGGATATAAAAACAGAAGTCTTCATTCCACAAGTCATCCCTAGTAACATTTCAAGTTATTAACCAGATAAATAAAAAATTGGCAGAGTGGGCCTGATTGACATAGTTGATTTAGGATGAACCTCTATGGGCTGGTGAGTCATGTTTCACTAAAATATCTGATGAAATGACATTGGTATGTCAATCTCTTGATGAAAAATTAGTACCCGAACTTTTAAATAGAGTTATTGTAAGTCTTATGAAATTAAAATTCTCCTGCACTCTGATTTAAGATAATAAAAGCCAGAGCAGGAATTCATTATTATGAGCTGCTGGACCAGTTTTAAATCAATCTATTTGATAAAACAAGTAAGGTCCTTCCCTCCTCACCCAGGCTATGTGAAACACTGCCTTCCCCAACCTCCCAAAAGAGCAGAAGAATAAGGCAATTGCTCATTTTACTTTGTTTTTATTTCAACATAACATGCAGTAAAAAAATTAACAGGATTTATTAGCATTTACAATGCTTACAAAGAAAAAGGACTCTAAAAGCAATTTAGTTCAGATTTAAGAAATCGCTCTAATTAAACACTTACAATAAATCTATTTCCAAATGATCAGTTTGGACCAAAATTTAAGCTAGTATTTGGTAGATATTTATGTCTGCTGTCTATCTGCAATATTTGTAATTAACCTCTGATTCTTGGGATATCCAGCCCCCATCTTCCTAACACAGCAGGAAAGACATACACATGGCCATTTAAATTAAAGGGAGAAATAGAGCAAGGGAGACCCAAGGCTGCAAAAATATATACAAGCATTTACCTTTTCCAGAACTAAACATTTCTTCCATAAAAATATTAAATAGCCAAGCCCTATAGAACTAGGGCCGGGACTACTTCATATATAGCTATTCTGTATTTTAAAAATATAGGGCAGAAAGCCTTTTGGATGATATTTATACATTTTCGCACAATATTTCTAGGTCCCTAAATGAATCATCAAGCATTATGTAGAACAAAAAAGTCTACTTTCTTACATTATCTCTTAATTTAATCTCATAAATCTCTAGTAAATATTGTAGGTAACTACATTTCAATATGAGCATTCACCTCAATAGGAAGTCTTTATAGAAGGTTTAATCTCCATAGCCACATAT